CATCACTAGTTTCACTAGCATAAACAAGGGGGGCATTCTCAGTGGAAATGGGGTGGTCAATGTTTGACTAACAGCAGGTTTCGGTACTTTATGCTAAGATCACCATTTGGCCCTGCGTGTTCTATTCTTCAGGAGCACCGTCCTGAAGAGCTTCTGGGAAGTTTATGTTCTCATCTTTTCCGTGCTGCTTAGCAAAGGTTAGCTTAGTCTTTGGCAACAATGCAAGTAAAATCAAAGCCAATAGTATAAGGGAAAATAACAAAATCAAGGTGGGTAATAGAGGGAGCCAACTGCGAAGACCCCTGATTTGTGGGGGTCTTCCTCCAGCCTGAGCTTTGCTACACAGCTTGAGTAGCATGGCTCTCAGCATCTCCCCCTTTTTTTATTTTTTAAAGCAAGTTTTAAAGTCTTCAGTTTTAAATAGGTTTTTCTTACACTTTTGCTTAGCAGTCGGAGGAAGACTGGAAGAAATAAAACAAGAAAAAGAATTATTAAGGCTATAATTCTTAGATTAATAAAAGATGGAAACTAGGCTTTGGAGGTGGTATAATGCTGCAGAGTGGCAAGAAAAAGTCTCGCTACTTCAGAGGCAGAAGAAGAGGATATGTGAGCAGTACTAATATCGCTAATAGTTTGCTGCAACTGGCCTATATCTAGGGATAAATTGGTATCATCCCACACTCTTAATAAATGATTTTTTATTTTATCTCAGGAAATTTTTGTATCATTTTATAAATGAGGTGTAACACAAATCTATTTATAGCTACGGTGGCATCTGGTGGTTAAACGTGTCTTTAAATTTTGCACTTGGGTCTTTGCATAAAGCAGGGTCTCTTCTAGGGCATTAACTTTAGATTTTAATTTTTGATCAATAATCTTTTAAGTGGCTAAAGCTAATGATACATTCTTAGACAATGATCAAAAAGCGGCAATATGGATTTCTTGTTCTAGGGGCTACAAAACACTTTTTCTGAAATAAGAGAATGCTGGTATCTCGAAGTGCTTGTAGTTCATAATCATTAAACTACGTAAAATTTAAAGTAACAGGAATTATCAAATATGGGAGATGGTACACAATAGAAATAACCTTTGCATTATTTTTTACAGAAATACAGGTAGAAAGAGTACAATTATTACAATTTATAATGAATTTATAATTTTGCTAATATTCATAGATATATAATTCTAAAATAGCAAAAAGGCATATGAAGTTTGCAAACAGGCTTGAAGTTGATAAACAGCTTTTCTTGTGGGTTTATGCAGTGTTACTAGCTCGACAGAAGCTGCAACTTGCCATAATTCAGAATGTAGGAAAGATTTTTCATTTAGAGATGTAGTTAATATGGGTGGAACTTAAGCATGGCAATAAACAAAGTTTTACTAGTAATAGGCAAATCTTGAAGGCGATCTACAGCTTCGGCTTTTTCCGTCAACTTCTCTATCTGGTCTCAGGTCGTAGGGTTACTTTGTCCAGTTGACCTTGCTAATCACTGCTGCGAGGGAAGACCTGGTCATGACTGGCGAGCTTCTCAGGAATCTTGCAGAGCGAGGCTCTGTAAACGCTGTACTAGAAGTTCTTGAAGGTTTTTTCTTGGGCAGGGACTTTCACTCCGTCTCAGAAAGTTGTGTGTGGGAGGAGGTGGTGGTGGAAACTTGTCTGATGAATCTGTCCGGTACTCACGGGTGTATCTGAGTCCTGTTTAAAAATACAAGCATATCTTCTCCTACAGGTTATTAAAACATCAGGCCCTTTCTATTGCCCTGTAAGCAGGTGTTTCTATTTTACTACAGGTTTGAAATTAGTTGAAGACAAAAATCCGCAAAATCATTTTCTTTAGTTTACTTGATCTTACGTAACTAATACCTATTCTGCTAAAATCTAGTTCTTTACTAATTTAGGAGTAATCAGTGATTACAAATGATAACAGGCTTATAAATGACAATGTTTAAAGATTTGATGAGAGTTTACTGTAAGACAGTTGATATAAGGAAATTTGGATATTTCTGTAACATAAAACACTTAATAACAAAGTTTAGCATCATCTTCTTTGACAGTGCTTTCTAGGTAAATATATATATTAGGTAAATAAGCCAAATTAGCCAAATGTTTTCTCCAATGAGGACTAAAAATTCCTCTGACATGTTCCAGGGGCCCTCTGGAAAATATCAGAGTTAACTAGAGGTAAAAGCAACTTTTAAAATTTGATTTTGGGAAGCTGTCAAAAAGTTTTTAAGGCACTTGCCTAAATAATCTAAATAGAATCATAAATCACTATA